TCTATTAAATATTTAACAAATATTACCAAAGTTACATAAAATCTTTAGGAAAGTAACAAAAGACTCTATCCAAGAATTTCCATAAGTTCAGCTAACTTGATACTAAAGCCTGGCTAGGATATTACAAAAAATAAAGACTATAATCCAATAGCATTCCCTAAAAGAGATACATTCTAACAACAACAAAAATTAAGGCAAATTCAGTGACATATGACCCAATTGGTCATGTTCCACAATTAAAAGCATGTTTAACATTTTTTTAATGTTAAAAAAAAGTAATCATCATAAGAGTTACAAAAAGAATATTTGACAAACATCAAACAGATTCGTTTTTAAAACCTTTTAGAAAACTAGAACTAATTTAATGAAAAACAAACATATTTAATGGTGAATTACTGAAAATTGCTTAGTAGTTTTGAATGAAATAAGGAGATCTTTTTTATTATTATTACCTCTGTTTAGTATTATACCACAAGCAAAATCCATCAATATTCTCAGACAACACAAAAGTACACATAACATATCCAAAATAAGTTAAACATATATTCTTAAAATTCAATAAGTACAACAAAGAGAAAATGAATGGTTTTAAAGATATCACTTAAAATGGCATGAAAAAATCAAATAACTACAAATAATTCTGAAAAAGTAAAAGATCTGCATTAAAAATTATGAAATGTTACTGACAGAAATGAAATAGACTTAAATTACTAGAGAGCTATACCAGATTAGTGGGTCAGAACACTTAATTTAAAATGATGCCAATTTTCTACAACCAATGCATAGCCAATCAAACTTACAGGAGTACTTTTGTGGCAGTTGATAAGTTAATTCTAAAATGTATGTGAAAATTCAAAGTGCAAAACTTGAAGGGGAATAATAAATTGAGAGAACTCATTCTAAAGTGGTAGTTATCAAATTGGCTGTGTGTTATAATCATCAGGAAGATTTTTTAAAACCTGATGGTAATGCCTTACCCTTTTACATAATTAAATCCTTATCTCTTGAGCAGAATACTGGTGTTTATGTTTTTAAATTATTCCAGGTATTTGTAATGCCCAACCAAGTTTGAGAACCATGGCTCTGCAGTGTATTATTATATATAATCTAATATAAAGTATATATCAGATATTGCATATCCACATTATTTAAGACAGGGACAATTGATGTAAGGATAGCAAGTAGATGAATAGAACAGCATAAAAATAATGGAAAAAGACCCAGGCATGTATGGACACTGTTTCTGAGTAAGGTTAACAGAGTAAGGTGATAGAAAAAAGGCAGCTTTTTATGAACTGTCACTGCACCAATTGGCTCTATAAAAAAAAAAAAAAAAAGCATTGGTCTCAACTTAAAACCATATACAAAAACATAAACCCAGGTAGGCTGCATATCTAAAGGTGAGAGTAAACAACAGAATTCTAGAAGATAATAGATAATATTTTCATGAACTCAGAAAAAGAAAAATAACTACATATTGACTACACTAACACTAAAGTGGAAAACTTCCATCCTTTAAAAGACAACATTTTGAAAATGAAATATGAAGCTATAGACTAAGACAGTACATTTGCAACACAGAAAATGGGCAGAGTAAGTATCCCAAATATACATACACATAAACTTTATCAAATCAATATAGAAATTTATAAAATTCAACAGAAAAATGAGAAAGAGATATAAACCACCTCTGCAAAAATGAACATCTCCAAAAATCAAATAAATATATGAAAAAGTGCTTGATCTCATTAGTCATCAGGGAGATGAAAACTAAAACCATGAGCTACCACTATACTCATGCCAGAATGATTAAAATTAAGAAGACTGATAATACTGTGTTACTAAGCATATGAGTTAATTGGAACACACATATACTACTTGTAGGAATGTAAACTGGATTACACAAAAAGCTTGTTTTTCATTACCTTTCATGGCTGATGTACACATACAATATGACATGGTAATCCCACTTACTTTTATGTCCTATTTAGTGCATATATATGTAGGCACACATGTACATAAATTTTCATGACAAAGTTACTGGAAACTCCAAACCAGAAATAATTCAAATACCTATTAGCAGTAGAATTAATAAGTTGTAATGTATCATCCAATGGAATAACATACATACTGAAAATGAATGAACTATATAAAACAGAATGGATTAATTTCACAATTATAATGTTAAACAGATACACCAACCAGAAAAGAATACATGCTATAATTTTCCATTTATGTAAGGATCATAAATGGACAAAAGTCATATTCGTGGTTATCCTTGAGGGAGACGGTAGATAATGACTGAGAAAGAGCACAAAATAGGGCTTCTGGAAAACTTGGAATTTTCTATTTCTGGAGCAGGGTAATGGTTACATGAATGTGTTTACATTGTGAAAATGATCAAAGTATTCACTATTTTTTCCTCTTAATTGAAGTACAACATAGTAGTAAAAGTAGTAAGGTGTAAAGAAGATGATCTGGACACATAGAGGGACATACTTTGTTCTTTCTTAAAACAATATAAAATGTCAATTCTTTCCAAATTAATCTATCAAATCAATAAATCCAATAAAAATCCCAGTTGGCAGGAAACTCATTTGGAAAGTCATAAGATATGTTCTCACCCCAGTTAAAATGGCTTTTATCAAAAAGACAAAAAATAATGGATGATGGAGAGGATGTGGTGAAGAGGGAACATTTATACCCTGATGATGGGAATGTAAATCAGTACAGTCATTATGAAAAACAGTGTGAAGTTTCCACAAAAAACAAAAATAGAACTACCATATAACCTAGTAATTCCACTGTGGGGTATATATCCAAAAGAAAAGAAATCAGTATATTAAAGGATATCAACATTTATATGTTTATTGCAGCACTATTCACAATAGCCAATATATGAAATCAACATAAATGTCCATCAATATATGAATAGACAAAGAAAATGTGGAATATTATTCAGCCATTAAAAAGAAGGAAATCCTGTCATTTGCAACAACATGGATAGAACTGAAGGACATTACCTTAAGTGAAATAAGCGAGGCACAGAAAGACAAATATTATATGTTCTCATTCATTTGTGGGAGCTAAAAATATCGATCTCATGAAGACAGAGACTAGAATGATGGCTACCAGGTACTGGGAAGGGTAGTGGGAGGGGGATAGAGAGGGGTTGGCTGATTAATGGGTACAAAAATACAGTTAAAAGGAATAAGATCTAGTGTTTAGTTCTATGATAGGGTGACTATAGCTCAAATAATTTACTATATATTTTTAAATTACTAGAGTAATGGAACTGAAATGTTCCTAACATGAAGAAATGGTAAATGTTTGAGGTAATGAATATCCCCATTACTCTGACTAGATCACTGCACATTGTATCAAAATATCACATGTATTCCATAAATATGCATACATATTATGTATTTGTAAAAAAAATTTTAAAGTCTATGAATATCTAAGCCAATTTAGGAAAAAAAATTGAAAACAAGGGATTGGTCTATACACTGTTTCTATACTAACATTTATTCCAAAGCTACAGTTACAAAAATAGTGTGACTTGGGGGCAATTAAGAAAAAAAAGTAAAGTAATGAAATAGAAGAGATATTTTAGAGACAGACTAACACAGAGGAGAATATATAATATGATTTAAAGGAGGCAACATAAGTCAATGGGTGAAAGATTGTCAGCTTAGCAAATGGTAACTGGAAATTAGGTGAACTGTATAGGGACAACTAAAATTGGATCCCTGTATAATTCATAGCAGTGTCCTGCAAATAGACTAAAAACTAAATGCAAAATATAAAACTGTAAAGCTGATGACAACAATATAGGAAAATTTCTTTTTAATGTAGACATAGAGAAAGACTTCTTACATAAAGCCTAAAAAACACAAAGCATGAGACAAAAATGATTTGGAGCTGGCTTAGAAATAGAGACATCAATAATATGATTGAACATGGCAAAACATAGTCTGATTCCAAGAATCAACTTATGAATAAATTGAATAAAACTGTACACTAAGCTGATGACAGCCCATATTAATTCACCACTTGCAAGTATGTGTGTATATTTGTGTGTGTGTATGTGTGTGTGTAAGTGTGTGTGTATAAAAAAAAACTGGAGCTGACATTTGTTAATTTTTCTTTTACTTTGCAACATAATATGTAATATATTATTTTGTCTATAAACAGGAAAGTCCTACCTACCAATACTTAAGTTATTTTCCTGGTAGTTTGGCTTGATCTGATTCTACAGCTGCTTCAATTCTACCATTTATTGGTGGCTAGAAATACACCTAGAAAATTGCTCATTTTATTGTATGTATTCAAACTAACTACGTAAAGATTTGGGGTTCTATATTGGAGATTTTAATATTCTTTTCCCTTAATTAAAATAATAAGTTACACCAAAACTCATTATCTTATTATTCAATAAGTTTAATTGAACTCTGAGTTTTCAACATCAATTTTTTAAAAATTATCTTGTAGCAATAATTTTTATACTTTCAAATGAAAATCTTCACTATTTAAGGAATTCAGAGTTAGGCCACTACAGAGTGAGAAAAACATGAGTATGAGCAATATTTAGAAGTTAAAAGTTTGGGAAATATTTGGAAATACTTCCTTCTAAACACTGTGCCTTTGATAGTTGCTTTTGTTTTAGCAAGCTAAATCTTTTTTACATTGTAGAAACATAAATATTGGTAACTAAATTGTCATTCTTGATTACAACCAATTTCAAAGCAAAGGCAGAAACAGTTCACCATTCAAGGCCTAGAGAAAGCTCAAGAAGCTTCACTCAATTCCTTATTTCTGTCTGTCCCAGAGTTCTATCTAGTTTCTCCCTTCTCCAACACCATTGGCTCTTGACTATTCATTTGTCAGTTCATTACTTTCTCCATTTTCTGATCACTTTTCCTTTACCAGAACTCACATATTTGCTGTTAACATTTCTGGCTGGAATGCTCTAGCCAGTCAAGGTTTTGGGGAGTGCTTACCTTCAAAATAGATGCCTGCCTGGATTTCTAGAACCCTGGGTAGGGTCCTGAGGTCCAGAGAGTGGACGAATTCTTCCAGAGATAATGCCATTGCTATGCCTTGGGTAGTCTGTAGGCCTGATGCTTACAGAAACTTGTGGCTTCTGGGTGACACTTGTCTGCAGTTGCAGTCCCTGCTCATTGTTTCTTCCTCAGGCAGGCAGGGATGTCACACTACAGTCAAAGTGGAGTAGAGTAGCTCTATGTGGGGAGGACAGTGAAGAGGAAGGGAGGCAGCAGGAGACAAAAAAAAAATGTTAGAGCTCTTTTGTTCACATTGTGGCTTCATTTCCTTCTGACTTTGAAGTAGAACAGGATGGGGGTGGCATGAACAGACAATGCCAAAAAAATGAGATGTGGTAAGTAGCTTATTCTGTCCGTTGCTAATCCAGGTGTGCATCTATTGCGGTAGCAAAACTGAGGTCAGGGTTGCTGTGGCTTGTCCACCAACAAAGAATAAGAACACATGACTAAAGTCTAACCTTAAAAATGGCACCATGTGAATTCATTATCTCTCTTCATTTCTAAAGCTTGGCTTTGTGCCTTATTAGCATACTGTCAGTGCCTTTACATTAAAATTGCTTATAAAATGCTTTGTGTCAGCTCTTTTTAGAAATCTGATACTCTGGAGAGAGTATCAAAACCACTTTTTATTCTTCACATTAAAAACGTTGCTGAATCTTAAAGGAGGATAGGGTAGGGAGAGAATATGCAAAGTGACACGGCAAATTAATAAAGTACGTTAACATGAGTTTTCTAATCTCTACACTATAGTAGAAAGTATTTACATTGTTTGTTAGGAAACCTGAGTTTTCTGGGTTTAGTTCTGCTTTTGATTTACAGACTAACTTCAGCCGTGTCTCCTCTGATTCTCATTTGTTTTACTTACTAAATGGAGATGAAGTAGAAGACTCCAGTAAATTTTATACTTTCTTCCACGTTCAAAATTCCACAATTCTGATCTTGTTGTTGAAATTTAGGAGGGGAAAGCGTTAAAGGATCAGCATTAAAGGAAGCCAAAGAAACCTCATGAACATTGATCTCTTCAAAATCCTGCCCCTCTAATATTTTGCATGTAAATGAAACAATATTTAGAATATGTACAATCAAAGGTGATAGTTCCTAAGTCTCTTTAAGGATCAGTAAAACAATGTTGGTTGAGGCTGAGGCTTATACCTGTAGTCTCAGCACTTTAGGAGGCTGAGGTGGGAGAATTGCTTGAGGCCAAGAGTTCAAAACCAGCCATGGCAACATAGTGAAATTCTGTCTTTACAAAAAAATTAAAAAATTAGCTAGGCATGGTGGCACATGCCTGTAGTCCCAGCTCTGAGGAGGTTGAGGAAGGAGGATCATTTGAGCCCAGGAGTTGGAGGCTACAGTGGGCTGTGAACATGTCACTGCATTCCACACTGAATGACAGAGCAAGATCCTGTCTCAAAAAAAAAAAATTATAATACTGGTTCGTATGTATACACCTGAAAGATGTTCAAGAAGCTGCATGTTCTCTTTAGTATATAATCCAATAAAAAATTAAAAAAAAAAAAAAAAAAAGAAAACTCTAGGCTTTTGTTTATGATCTATTTTGGCCTGAAGCTGCAGAGTGCATAGGCAGATACAGAGGGTCAGGGGACATCTCAATTCTACCATAGCCATCATGTAAATTACCTAGAAAGATAAATAGTGCCTAGTTTTGATATGGCACTTACAAAACTGTTTCAACTTGTCATAATGCTATTTGACATTTTCAATAATCTGCCCAGCTTTATTTATTTCTTTATAAAAGTAGAATTTATGGTTGGCCACATCAACAGGTTTTCTATCAGTAGATTCAACTTCCTAACTTGAAACTTTTTTGTCCAAAAATTTCCTAACCTTGATCTGTCTGTCTTCCATAGCCCTCCCCACAGTTTACTGTCTAGTAGTGTATTTCATGCAGTTGAATATATGAAAGAAGCTTCTGTGGACTGCTCCTTAAAAATCATGAATCTGTTAGAATTGATGCCACAATACACTTCATTTGATATCTAATGTAAGCTGGATTTCACTTTTTTTTTTTTTTAATATTCCCAAGTCAAATTTCTATCCTACTAGCCAAACAGCCATTTCCTATCACCAATCTCTTACAATTACCTAGGTTCCATCTGCTTCTGCTCTTGGTACAGATGCCACTCCCCCTGTGATAATCTTCTTCTTTGTATTCTCAATCTTAATTAATGACACTACTATCCTCTTAGTTTCCCAAGCCAGAAGACTTAGAATCATGTGAGATGCCATTTTTTTTTCTCTAGCTGTTAAATCCATCAGGCCCTATAGATGGCAATACTAAGTACCACTCACTCTGTCTTTGCTCTATATCCCCACTGCTACTGCTTTAGACCAGATTGTAATCACTTCTGACATGCAGGCAAAAAAAAAAAAAAAAAAAATTCTGATGTAAAGCAGCCAAGATAAAGTTGACAAAGAAGAGCAATGAGAAGTACTTGAATCATCAGGCAGTGAAGTGAATTACTGAAGTTTGGTCATTAGAACAGCACTTTATAGGTGTAATAATAGATTAATGAGAATTCAAAAGAAAACCCAGACTTATATAATAATTTACTATTTGATACAGGTGAAATTCCAAAGCACTGGGGAAGAATTTTTATTCAACAAATGGTTAAATAATTGCGGGGGGAAGTGTTTTATTCAACAAATAGTTAAATAACTGGGGGGAGAGTTTCCTAACTTTCCATGAGATAAAATTAGAGTTAGATAAATTTTAAAATTAAATGTAAATAAAAATAAACCAGAGGGAAAAAATAGGAAAATGTCTGGAAAAGGGTAAGAAAATAACTATTTCTGAGCACCAGTTGAAGTCTTAAAGGAAAAGACTAATAATATATTTGACAACTAACTTATGAAATACTCCTGTAAATCAAAAAGAAGTTTGAACAAAATGGAAAAAAACCACATACTTCAAATAAAAATTGTCTTAGGTATGTAAAGGCCACTTGTTAATCAATAACCAAAATAAAAATATTCAAAGACTTCTACTTCTGGCTATGAGCTTGTATCTGACCAACTTTCCTATCAAAGGCACCTGGAAGAGCTGTATACTTTTGAAAAAGCTGTTTTAAGAAACGAGAGAGCTGTCAGCCTGCAGGACACGAGAGGCCATGACCCTGTAAAGCAGAGCAGAACCATTAGAGGAACCCCATATTCTGCACTTCTCTTCCCTCAAGGCTTTTATGGATTAGTAACTGGCACCAAGAGGAGAGGTTGAACAAAAACTGGTGGTTCAGGAGGAGAGCCCCTGAGTTGAGTTTTTGGCAATTTCACATAGCAAAGAGACCAAAATAAACTGGAATTTGGGACTTAGCAAGTCCCCCAGGAAAAGTTGGAGAAATGTGTTGCTCAGCACCATTTTTTCCCCTTAAAAAAATTTTGCCCCTTCAAAGCAGTACAAGGTTGATTGTATGAGACACAAACAAAAGCATGATTGGTATAAAGCTGAAAAAGCCAAGTAGTGCTTTTAGCAGTCTTACAGAACTGGGAAGCCAGGGCCTGCCAGCGAGCGAGATGGAATCCCAGCAAATGCCTACATTCTCAGCTGGGGATACTGAAGGCCGCTTCCTAAGAGAAAGGGTTGCCTATAAGGCCGGGTGCGGTGGCTCAAGCCTGTAATCCCAGCACTTTGGGAGGCCGAGGCGGGTGGATCACGAGGTCAAGAAATCGAGACCATCCTGGTCAACATGGTGAAACCCCGTCTCTACTAAAAATACAAAAAATTAGCCGGGCATGGTGGCACTTGCCTGTAGTCCCAGCTACTCCGGAGGCTGAGGCAGGAGAATTGCTTGAACCCAGGAGGTGGAGGTTGTGGTGAGCCGAGATCGCGCCATTGCACTCCAGCCTGGGTAACAAGAGCGAAACTCCGTCTCAAAAAAAAAAAAAAAAAAAAAAAAAAAAGAGAAAGGGTTGCCTATAAATAGAACAAGCATTATAAAACCCAAAGCCCAGACTAAGATGGGCTCAATCCCTCAGTGGATTAAAGTGGCCTGCCCCTATTCTCACTGCCAGATAGAAGCAAATTTAAATCCTCCTGTTGAGGAAAAGCACCCAGAACGTCTATAATATTTAAAAATACAACATCTATAATTTAGTATGAAATGAACAGGAATGCCAAAAGACAGGACAAAGAAAGAGAGAGAGAAGGGAGACCATAGAAACAAACTCATGGGGTGATTCTGCTATTGGAATTATTACTCCTGCAATTTAAAATAATGTTGATAAACATGTTCAAAACTAGAAGACAAGAAGGAGAAAAGAAGGAGAAGACACCTGCCATCTATAGAAAGTATCATATGGAATTTCTAGAGATAAAAAATACAGTAACTGAAATTATGAAGTCAATAATTGGCTTTAACAGCAAATGGGACATATACAGTAAGAGAGGATTGTTGAACTGGAAATGGGAATGTAGGAGGATATCTGCTCTCTCTCTCTTTCTCTCTTTTTCTCTCTCTCTCTTTGTCTCTCTCTCTCAAGAAAGGCATTTCAGCCATAGTGGAAAGATCTTATGTGTAAACTGAGCCCCAACATGAGAGGAGAAATAATAGTGGGAGAAGCAATATTTTAAGAGATAACAGCTGAAGATTTTCCAAAGCTGAAAAAGACATCAATCCATAGATTCAAGCCTTGCCAACACCATCAAGGAGGATAAATGCAAAGAAAGGCATACTAAGGAACATCATACTAAAATGTTAAAAAGCCAAAGTCAAATGAATGTCTTAAATGCCATTCTGAAGAAAAGAAATCGTCAAAGCATCATTAAGAAGATGATAGCTGACTTACTAACAAAAACTAATAAGACTAGCATGCAGTGGAATAGCATCATCAAAATGCTGAAAGAAAATAACTACCAACTTGATATTCTAAATCCAGAGAAGCATGAAACCAACAGCAAAATAAAGACATTTCAGACAAACAGATACTAAGAAAATTTGTCACCAGTAAACTCTTGCTAAAAGTAATACTATGAAGGATGTTCTTCACACGAAGGTGAAATGATCTCAGATAGAAAATCAAGACCACAGGAAGGAAGGAAGAGGGTGAATAGGTCAGTAAATTGAAATATTGAGTTCCCAAAACAATAATTAATGGCCTGTGGAGTATAAAATACATTTTTACTACATATAATTCATGCAGTGTATTGTAAAACATAGCAGTAATGAAAAAGCAAAACTGATAATGAAGTTAAGATGTTCTAAGGTAATAGGCTTCTAGAGATGTTGCAAACGTAATGTTTAATATCATATTTAAATAAATAAAAACATGTAATTTCTAGGAAAGCCACTAAAGTATAGTAAATGGAATTAAACTTACTTAATCCAAAAAAGTCGAGAAAGGAAAGAAAAAGAATCTCAAAATTGCTAGCACATAGCAAGATGGTATACATAAACTCAATAATACTCTTAACTTAAATGAAATAAATATACAAATAAAAATTAAATAAATTAATAGTTCAGGTAATTAATGTTGGCAGATAACATTTAAACAAATACATTTACTTAAAAATAGGCAATTTAATTATAAGTCTCTGAAGATGGAACAATGGGAAAAGATATACTATAAAACATTAAGCAAAAGAAAGTTCATGAAACTACACCAATATTAGATGAATTAGATTTAAAGGCAGAAAGTGTTATAAAAGATAATAAGATTATTCATTTAATAATGAAAAAGTGACTGATTCTTGGAGAAAATTCACAGCTCTAAATAATATAGCCTCGAATATCTAAAGCAAAATTAACCAAATGAATAGAATCAGAGTAAAAACCTTTTACAAACTGATTCAAAACCTGACAGAAAAAACAAATATTGAATTCATAAAATTGATACTGTTAACAGTGTAATATTTATGCATTCATATATACTACAAACTGTTGTGATCTATCTTGAAATCAATTTGATGTAGCAATTTCACATTTAGCTATAATCAGATACACAGAAAGATTTGTTCATACCATCAACTGAAGCATTTATTATTTTAATGACCAAAAAAAGAAGGAGAAAAAGAGAAGAAAATGCGTTTCACATTACGCTAATAATTTAAACAGGGAAGTTTCTGTTGAAAAAAAACTTGTCCTCACACCGGGCTTGCTACTACTTAACACATCTTCTTAAAATTTCCACTGAAGAATGGAAATAGACTTGTCTATCAAATGATGATTACATTATTGTTAGTGTTATTATTGCCAATGATTTATATCCCAAAAGAAGTATTGTTGAAAAGAAAGAAAAATTGCTCAAAGCAAACTTTATATAAGATACCAATTCCTTTGCTAAACTATAGCTGCTTTCATAAAAAAGCAGAACTGGCTGAACGTTTAAAAAACATGACTCTCACAAGCAGAGAAATAAACTTCAAAAATAGAGGCTTAAAACTATATTATAATATCTGAGTGTAATGTAATATTTCTTTGAGTAAAGAATAACCCCTTATCTCTAAGTAGACAGTATCAGAAAAAAAAAGAAAGAATAAACCTTAGAGATTATTCTGACTGGTATTTAAATCATTCATTCTCATTCATTGTTCGCTTCTAAAGAAGCAAAAATTAGGCTTATAGGAATCATTCCTGTCATTTTGGATTAAATAATATATGCCATTTATTGGTTTAAGTCATTGAAAGCTTGCTTGTTCTGGGGAATCATACAATACCACTGGGGCACTAGGCTTGGATTTTTTTTTTTTTTTTTTTTCATGAGCAACATTTCAGGGAGATCCTGCTGTTGTGTGCACCTGGAAGCTCAAGATTTGTATCTCATAGATTCAAGTACAATGGAAGAGACTACCTTCTCCTAGTTATACCAGGGAAACTCCCAGGATAAGCTCTGATTAATCTAACTTGTACATGTGATTGGCTCACATGCACGTGACTCAGCCAATCACTATGCCTAGAAAATGAAATATACTAATTTCCCATAATTTCAAGTTTATGGGCTCTACTATGGATTTTATTAGGGAGTTATCTCAGCTAAATCACAAAAAGAATTGGAAGAGGAGATATCTCAAAGGAAAATCAGTGAGCTATTACCCAAAAGAGAAAGAATGGGTGTGTGATGAACAAAATCATAGTACACCCACCATAAATGTTTCCAGTGCCATAAACGGCTTCCATCTGAAATGCCTTGATCACCATTCTCTTCTGTCCCCAACCGTATGTACACTCCTAATTTGTAAAAATGAATATGAATGATTTTAATAATCTTGAAAGAAAATAAATTCCTTCTATAACAAAACAATTTATTTTATCAAAATGCAATGGCCTATGAATGTGTTCATTCGTCACCACCTGGTTTGCAATGAAGCCCTTGCTTCCCAGCACTTTTAGTTTCCTTTTGAATTAAACTCAGTATAGGACTCATGATTCTTCCCAGGTAGGTTTATTTTTCTGGTCATCCGGCCTCCCCTTTCCCTGCCCACGTGGTCTTGGGCTCCTGCCCCAAACTGCTCACACAGTTCAGGGCTCCTGGGTGGCCGTCTTTACCAGGTCCAGGTGTGCAGAGGTATCCTCTCCCGACACGCAGCAGGCTGCACGTGGTCGCTGCTGACTCCGAGATGACGGAGATGACGCGGGGCCTTCAGAAGCCCAGGACTGAATGGGGGCGGGGGGAGGGGGTGTGTTGCACAGCCGCAGCCGGCGCCGCCCTCCGCCCTCCCCCAACAGCAGGGGTCGTATAACAGCATCTCTTAGGGAAATGGTCGTGCTTTCTGTGCCCACCGAAGTCACCGTGATCCCATTAGACATGGAAGGTACCACACCACTGTTGCTTTCTTGAAGGACATTTTATTCCCTTACCTCAAAGAAAATGTTAAAGAGTATCTGCAGACACAGTGGGAAGAAGAGGCCAGCGGGAGGTCAGTCTTTGGAGAAAACAGGCTGAAGAGGACGCCCAGCTGGTTGGACTGTTCCTATCTCTGCAGCGTCTGAGAGTGGAGTGGATGATCCGCAACAGATGATCCAGGCCGTGGTAGATATGTGTGCTGGCAGATGTACCTGGATCGAAAGACCATTGCACTCAAACAGCTGCAGGGCCACGTGTGGAGGGCGGCGTTCGCAGCTGGGAGCAGGAAAGCAGAGTTCTTCGCAGATATAGTTCCAGCTGTCAGGAAGCGGAGAGAGGCTGAAATGAAGATGTATATCTATTCCCTAGCGAGTGTGGAGGCACAGAAACTGTTGTTTAGGCATTCTACGGAGGAAGATATTCTTGAGCTTGTTGATGGTCACTTTGACACCAAGATTGGACACAAAGTGGAGAGTGAAAGTTATAGAAAGATTGTAGACAGCATTGGGTGCTCAACCAAAAACATTTTGTTTCTGACAGACGTTACTCAAGAGGCCAGGGCGGCTGAGGGAGCAGCTGTCATGTAGCTGTAGTGGTGAGCAACACAGGATTAACAGATGATAAGAAGACTTGCTACAGCCTCATCACATCCTTCAGCGAACTATACCTGCCTCCCTCAACCTAGAGGAGGGTTGCTAAGGCAGACCGCACTGTTCCCAGAGTTGTCCCTGTCACATCCGGGTTTATTCTAATGGTGGAAGTAACTCACTTAAAAAACATATACATGTACACATTTATATGCAAGTATATATGTAGGCTCAAATTAACTTTCACAGGTACATAAGTGAAAGAAGATTCAGTTCAGTTAATACAAAACTTATTTAAAGATGCTTTATAGTTAGAAATTGTTTGAAATTATACTCTAACCCTTACTGAGGGCAAAGCGTAGTTGATAGAAGAAATTAAGTACCTATCTAATGTGCTATGTGTACCAAGTCGTATACTAAAATGGAAAGCTAGTTTTGAGAAAGTATTTAGAACCCTTGTTATTTTAAAAAAGAAATATTTCAAAGACTTATTTGCAATAATAATTCATTGCTCCTGTTTGTGATTTTGATTATAACAGCTATATTTTATATTTGCCTCTCTATATATAATCAAAGATGAAGGTATTTATTTCTGCTCCAAAAGAGCAAAATTGGGAAAGAAAACTCACTTAAGTCTTGATCAAACAAGTGTCTTTTACTTAAGAAGAAACTTGGTAATCATTGTGGCACCCACAACAAGCATTTGCCTTACCAGTAAAAAAGGTGCACTGATTTAACAGCTAGAACAGAGATTTGGTTCTTAATGTTTAACAGAACAGTTCTAATCCCATGGGGTGTTATCATTATAGATTTTATAGTTGCCTTTCTAACTAACATAGTTTGAGAATCTTCTTTGCTATTTACTATTAAAAAACGTTTTACAGAAATCAGTCCATAGGATTAAGTTGAGCCCTAATATGTAAGATTTTCCTCTGGAATGGATGTGAGAAATATAAATTTTATAATAGCAGTATTTATCTTGGTTTAATTCTAATAGGTTGTCATGTTAATTTCATGTCATGATTAATAAAAGCATTTTTCTGGTCATCCTTTCTTCTAAATTAATGTTTAATTGTCCTTTCAACAAACAATTGAACCCTTCCTCTATTCTTGTAGAATACGAGGCACTGAGAATATAAATAATCCCTTAGAGACATTACATTTTAGCTGATCATGCCCACAAATTAAGAATCACAATCCAATGTATACAGTTCAGGAACTTCAAGAATTAGGAAGGGGTCTCCCCAGGAAGAGTGTTCCTCAGGTTAATCTTAAAGGGTAAAAAGCAGTCAGGTAGATGAGCCTGCTTACCATGAGGAGACTTTAGTCAAATGGTTGGATCTTTGGATTTTTTACACTTGGTTCTGCCTATTGCTCGATGCCATGGAACAGACGAACAGGTTGAAATGTGTCTTGCAAAGTGCAAGGTGAATGTTGGTGTTACCGTACGAATTCTGCCCTGACATTTTCCCTTGCTATAGGACTCAATCTTTCCTCAGAACCATGAAATAAAAAATGAAGCCCCTATATTCATAAAAGATTTTCCAGTTTTTCTCTTTAAATGGTGGAGGCCCTGTGATGTAACTCCAACATTTTCCTCTGACTTTTACACAGCATTTGTTGAAAGCTTAGCTGCAATATGCCTGTAGAAAGGATATTCCCACATTAACAGTTCTTTTCTCTTTTTTGCACATTTATTATCTCTTATAACTGAGAAAAACTCAAAGATGTCATTTGCTTTTTGGTATGATAACATTTTAGAGCCTCATAGAAATAATTCAGTCCTGCATAATTAAAAATAGAACTTAAAACACTTAAAATAATTATCTATTACAAATTAAACACTGATGAGTTGCCAAATTTTTACAACAAATCAAGTCTTTCCTTTTAGATCTGAGACCTAAAATTTAAATAATATAGTAAGTATATATATTACAAAAATAAAATATTAAAATTATCTATTTTGGTAAACCTAATTTAGGCTATGTATTTCTTTAACTCGAGTTATTTTATTGGACAACAGACCATTGCTTAACCTGACAAATGTATACATGGAACTGTGAGTTACAAATATCTTTTTTTCACCTGGTGCCACCAAAATGAGTCAGAGAAGTTCCTACGTGATATGATTTGATTCTGTGTCCCCACCCAAATCTCACTTTGAATAATCCTCACATTTCAAGGGTGGGACTAGGTAGAGAAAATTGAATCATGGGGTGGTTATGCCCATGCTGTTCTCATGATAGTGAGTGAGTTCTCACGAGATCTGATGGTTTTATAAGGGGCTTCCCCCTTCACTTGTCACTCATTCTCCTTCCTGCTAACATGTGAAGAAGGACATGTTTGCTTCACCTTCCACCATGATTGTAAGTTTCCTGAGTCCTCCTCAGTCCTGTGGAACTGTGAGTCAATTAAACCTCTTTCCTTTATAAATTACCCATTCTTGACTATGTCCTTACAGCAGCATGAGAACAAACTAATACACTAGGTACCCAAAGCTTTGTAATATTAACAGCATATTTAACTGTCCAGGTCAAATGGATTAGGAGGAAAGTAATAAAGATGGCAACAAAAACACACAAACATAAAACAACAGTACACACACACACACATACACACACAAAGTGGGAGTGGTGATGGAAGCAGCTTGGTAAGGATTCTTATTTCCAAAGTGTTCAAAAAACCTGAAGAACCTACTTTGTTCACTTGATAGATCATGGTTGAGGACATTATGCTTCTCAAAAGTGTTCCTGTTTTACAAACTAAGATAATGATACACCTACTTTGTTCACTTGATAGACCATGGTTGAGGACATTGTGTTTCTCAAAAGTTCTTCTGTTTTACAAACTAAGATAATGATACGCAATTTGCCTGAGATAATTTTCAAAGTTGGAAAACTCATAGATCCAGTAATAGAAAAACCTGGGCAGGAATTATTATACTTATCCACAAAATTCAATCTCTTGAGAAATTCTCCTCTCAGTAAAAAAAAAATCTCAAAGGGATTGAAAAAGTAGCAACAGAAGAGATTTACAGATTCACTTTATAGAAAAATAATAGCTTTAGCTTTCATTACTTTCTAGTGTATATAATTTTTCTTTTTAAATATATAAACTAGCTAAGAATAAATTAAGTAAAAGGCTTGTTGTAGATGATAACTTTTTTATAAAGAATTATAGTCATAGTTCAAACTACCTTCCCACTGTCTTTGTTTTACAATTAAACTCTGAGAGCATTGCAAAAAGCCTCATTTTGTAAACTCATTGTCTTAGAAGATGTATTTATTTCATTCTTAGTAATTACACATTTATCTTCAAGAATTTTGTTATTAGGAAAGAAAATTCTTGCTATAAAGAGTTACAATCTCATTACATAAGTATTTGTTTTCTGATAGCAAGTATTCAAAAGTAATTGAATATTTTTATTCATTTCCCACAATGTTATCTCCAGAATAAAGCTGTCTGAATAGAGCCAGGAATTGGAGAATCTGTTTTTACTATTACCACACCTTAGAGAAGATAATTAGATGACTGTACCTTTGAAATGGAGTTTATAAAGCGTAGCAACCATAATTTTTTAAAATAATCATTTGCCAAAGGTTATAGAGTCACAGAAAAGTTTCAGAGATAGTACAAAAATTTCCTGTATACCCATACAAACACCTGTTTCCTTAATACTTTATATTATGACGGTGTATTTGTCACAACTTAGAAGCCAATATTGAGATATTATTATTAACTAAATAATAATTAACTAAACTCCATACTTGACTAGAATTTTATTAGTTTTTTGATAATGTCATTTTTCCTTTCTAGAATCCCACTCAGGACACCCCATTGCCTTGGCCATTATGTCTCCCTAGGATCCTGGGGGATGCCGCAGTTTCTCAGTCATTCCTTGTTTCTGATGACCTTGATAAATTAAGGGATACTGGTCAGGTATTTTGTAGAATGTGCCTCAGTTTCCATTGTCTGATGTTTTTCTCATGGTTCACCTTGGGTTATGGGTTTGGGGATGAAGACCACACAGGTAAATTACGGTTCTCATTCTGTCATATTAAGGTTATAGGCTGTCAACATGATTTATCACTGATGATGTTAACTTTATCTGACTAAGGTAATGTTTGCCAGGTTTCTCCACAGTATTGTTACCCTTCTCCTCTTTTCACACTGTCCTCGGTGAAAGCAAGTCATTAAGTGTAGCCTACACTTAAAGGGTAGAAACTTACACTGTAGCTCCTTGAAGGAGGAATATCTACATAAATAATCTGGAATTTTACAGGAGATATTACTGTCTTCTCCTTTATTTATTTATTCAATAATATATTTATTTATACAGCATAGGTTCATGGATATATATTTTATACTTTAAGTTATAATCTAATGCTTTTAAAACTTATTTTGTGCTCAAATTGTTCCAACTTTGATCACTGTATATACACACATATAAATCTTTCTACATGTATTCACCTGTATTTATATAATAATGTAAACATAAGTTCATACTGATATTGCCTACTCTAATCCAATACTACATGGTTTATTCTAGCCTTCCTCCTTTCCTTATTTCTATCCTTCCACTCCAGTTGTGAGGTTTGGGAATCTCTGCCTAGATTTCAGAGGATGTCTGGAAATGGCTGAATGGGAAGAAGTTAGCTGTGGAGGCAGAACACTTATGGAGAACCTCTGCTAGGCCAGTGCAGAAGGGAAATGTGCAATCAGAACCCCCACACAGATTACCCCCTGGGGCACTGCCTAATTCAGCTATAAGGCGGCCATCATCCTTCAAATGCCAGAATGGTAGATCCACTGACAGCTTGCACTGAGCACCTGGATAAACCACAGACACTCAATGCCAGCCCGTGAAAGCAGCCAGGTGGGTGGTACCCTGCAAAGTCATGGGGTGGAACTGTCCAAGGCTGTAGGGACCCACTTCTTGCATCAGCATGACCTGGATGTGAGACATGGTGTTAAAGGAAATCATTTTGGAACTTTAAGGTTTAATGACTGCCCTACTGGATTTCAGACTTGCATGAGTCCTGTAACCCCTTTGTTTCAGCCAATTTCTCCCATTTGAAATAGATTTATTTACCCAATGTTTGTAACCCCATTGTATCTAGGAAGTAACCTCCTTTTGATTTTATAGGCTCATAGGTGGAAAGAACTTGGCTTGTTTCAGATGATACTAAAACTGCCACTGCAAAATCATAACTGAGACAGTGAAAGGGATTTGGCCAACTCCATCTTGCTTCTAACCTCCAAGCTGTCCTTGTTCATTACTGGGAGTAGACTCAGTTAACTTTGGGATGAATTTATAGTTTAAAACAAAGACAGTAACAGCCCTTTCCCAAAACAAACCTTCTTCTTGCCTGGGCACTAGGCTGCCTTTGTAGGACTAACAAATTAGCAACAAGATTAGAAATTATAGTTTAGAAATCATGCAGCTGGAGGTTAAAAGATGCTGACCCTCCCTAAACTGCTCCTGAGATCAGTGCCTGAGATATTTTGGAGACCCTGCAGCTGATGGATCAGCTGGCATCACCCAGACTGATTAACTGGCTCATCTGATTTGTGGCCCCACCCAGAAGCTGACTCAGTGCAAGAGGACAGCTTCAGTTCCCTATGATTTCATCTCCTGCCTAGTCAATTTGCACTCTTGGTTCACTGGCTTCCCCTGACCCACCATGTTGTCCTTAAAAACTTTGACCCCTGAAAGCACAGGGAAACTGATTTGAGTAATAATAAAACTCCAGTATCCTGCACAGTTGGCTCTGTGTAAATTACTCTTTCTCTATTGCAGCTCCCCCGTCTTGATAAATCAGTTCAGTGTAGGCAGTGGGCAAGGTGAACCCACTGGGTGGTTACATGACTTTAGACATGGACTTTTGAGTGAATGCTGGAACAAGCTAAGATTTTGTGGGACTGTAGGAAACCTATAATTGTATTTTGAAATGTGAGGACATGAGATGTGGGAGGAGGAGCCAGGAAAAGAATGATACAGTTTGGCTGTATTCCCACGCAAATCTCACTTTGAATTGTA